GCCATTTTGGCTCAAGATGTTGAGTTCCTCAGGGGAACAAGTGGATACCGCTAGTCCGCGGCTGTGCCAGGGCTGTTCAGCCCGACATCTTCTCTCGAGACCTGTACGGGGAGCTACGCGCTGCCGTCCAGAGTCCCATCCCAGCCCGCCGCCATGTCGGATCGCAGGCGCGGAGGCGGCAAGTCCCCAGCTCCAAGGGTCTCCTTCTCGTCCGACTATGTGGGATGCAAGAAGTGCGGGTACCGTTGGACCTACAAGACCAAGCAGTCCTGCTACAGCTGTGGGCAGGCCCTGCGACCATCGTACTCTCCTGCTCCCAAGCCCCGTGGCGTCTGGGCTAGCGGCAGCGGAGGCTGGTGGCAGGACAACCACAAAGGCGCCGACTGGTACCAGGAAGCCGAGGAGACCACGCAGAGGACCGAGCAGCTTGCGATCGGCGAGGTGGTGCAGACCCTCGGCGGGCAGGCCCTCTCCGAGGCCCAGCGGCAGGCGCTCCAGCAGCTCGAGAGCGCCTTCGCCCCGCCGGCCCCTGCAGAGCGCCCCGCGCTCCTGGAGGAGGGCATCCAGCGGGCGGCCGCGGCGGAGAGGGCTGCTCGTCGGGAGCTGGAGAAGCGTGCCAAGCAGCTGGCCGACGCCAAGCTCTGGCTCGACGAATGCCAGGCTCGATCCGATGCGGCGGCTGACGCCCTGGTGGGGGCTGAGGTCAAGCTGGCGCAGGAGAAGAAGGCGTTGGCGTCTCCAGGCAAGGACCCTCAGCCTGAGGGGACCAACAAGGGCGGCGGGGTCATCAACCTCTCTGCCTTGTTGGGCGAAGGAGAGGCCAGTTTTGTCATCGAGGACGGCCCCCTCTTCGACCTGGAGGGGCTGGATATCACATCCGAGCAGCGGCAGCAGTTCAACAAGCTCAAGCAGACCTTCGAGGCGTCGGTGCAGCAGGCGGCCCGCACGCACTTCGGGCCAGGGGCTGACGTCCTCAAGTCCCAGCGCGAGCAGCTCGAAGAGATCAGGATGCTCCGAGAGACCTTCAAGAAGCGCAGGCGTGAGCACCCCCCTGCGGCTGCGGCGGCAACAGAGGCGTCAGCGCCCCAGACCCCCGAGGGGAGCCCGCCGCAGGCGCCTGCCCAGGCCAAGCGCGAGGACCCTCCTGCGGAGGCGGCGGCTGCAGAGGCGCCAGCGGCCCAGAGCCCCGAGAGAGGCCCGCCGCAGGCGCCAGCCCAGGCCTCCCAGGAGGCCCAGCAGGCTGCCCAGCCCGCCGCGGAGCCGCAGGGTGCCCAGGGCGCTTCGCCTGGCGCTGCCAGCTCTGACGCTGGCCCTGACGCTGGTCGTGAAGCCGCTGGCAAGGAGCTGGCGGAGGCCTTGCAGCGCGCCAGGGCTCGCAGGGCGGAGGCAGTCGCCAAGCCAGTGCCTCTTTAGCCCGCACGGGCTCGGCAGCCTGGCCTCCACGGCTGCAGGTACCAGTACACAATGCTCTACATGGTCGGGTTCATGGCATGAGCCCAGCACGTCGCAGGAGCCAGAACCTTTCAGAGGGTCTCCTCCTGACGCAGTCAGTACATCATTCTCTACATGGTCAAGTTCACCGAAGGCGAGCCCTCCACGTCGTCGAGGCAAGGGCGGCACTCGCAACGTGGGGCTCGAGTTCATAGGCTTCAACTGTTCATCTTGGGCGCAGGCTATTGATGTTTTGGATGAGGCCGCTACAAGGAAGATCGTGGGCCCCATGCATATCACGTTCCTTCAGGAGCATAGGCTGAGTGCGCCCATTGCCAAGGACATCGAGGCGGCCAACTTCAACAGGCACTACACGGCAGCATTGGTTCCAGCTGTCAGCGGCCCAGGCGGACGTCCGACTTGTGGAGTTGGGTTCCTCGTGCCAAGGAATGTTGGCCTTACACATCTTGAAGGCATGAATACGTTTGATATTTCGCCTCCTGGGTCGCCTGGCCGCGTGGCAGTGGGCTGGTGCTCTGCTGGACAGAAGGGTGGCCTCATGATTAGCACGGCATACTTTTGGACACGGGAAGGTTGGACGATTCGAAATTTGTCAATTCTGGAGTCCATTGCAACGGTCATCAAGCAGCATGACATACCGCGGGTATTCCAAGCAGACTTCAACGAGACGGGGGAGTCTTTACTCAAGACGGGTTGGTGCCAAGATGTGGGTGGAGTTGTGCGACTCCCTTCCACTACCACGCGTGCAGGAGTCGGCGGTGGCAGTATCATCGATTTCTTTGTGCTCGACGCCCGCATCCAGCATGTTTTCGGAGACACGGTAGAAGTATTAGACACCGCAGCCGCACCTCACTCGCCCATTCGCCTAGTCATGCAGTCCAGGATGCGAGCAAAAGGCGGCTGGAGGCTTGCCAAGCCCAGACCTTTCCCAATGGAGAGGCCGTGCGGACCAGTCCCGCAGCCTGCACAGTGGCCAGCTTTCGATCATCAGGACGATTTAAATGGCACCCAGCTTGACCAGCTTTGGAAGCAGATTTCACACTGTGCTGAAACAGAGCTGGTGAATCTCCTGGGTGTGGAAGAACCCCAATCCTACCTCGGTCGGGGCGATCCTCCTCGGTGGACCTGGGCCCCCCTCGCTGGTCCTCAATCGCACGCGCGCCCCAGGGGAACGCCTAGCTCCCGAGTTTGGCGGTGGGTCGCCGCACGAGCCAGTGATTTTATTGTCCTCGCACAAGCTGCCCAGCAGGAAGGCACCTGGATGCATGCACGAGCGCGACGAGCAAAGCTCGAGCGCCGCATCGAAGGAGGAAGGAGTCGGCTGGTTCACGACT